GGCCGTGGCGGGGTGTCGTGGATCTGCCCTGTCCCCGGCTTGAGTTGGGGGCCCCCCTGCCGCGGCGGGGGGCGCGGGGATGGAGAGAGCTCAGGGCCGGGGGGGGGACGGACATGGGGCTTAGTTCTGGGGGGACACGGGGCTGAGTGCTCTGGGGCTGTGCCCGCAGGCACACCGTACCCCGGCGCCGTCCCGCTCTGGTACCCCCGGGGTCCGGGGCAGCCCTGGCTCCGGCGGGGGGGGGAGCTCACGCAGCACCCCCTCCCTCCATCAGTCCCCAGGCTCACGCACACCCCGTGCCCACTACAGCCGCCCGTCAGCGGGTGCTGAGCACCCCCGTGGCCCTGGGGCCAGCCCTGCCACGGGCAGGGCCTCGGGGGTCCCTGGAGCCCCATGGCGGGGCTCTGCCTCCCCTTGCAGGGGCTGGTGGGGTGGCTGCTCTGCGGGGGGGGGCACCAGGACCCTTGGCCGTGTTTTGGGGTGTCCCAGAGTGAGGGGCTGCCCAGCCCCAGGACGTGCAGCAGCACTGGGCTGTCTGGGGATGGTTCTGCTGATGTGTCACATTTTCTGCATTTCTTTCCTCGTTCCTCCCTCCCTGGAGTCGTTTCTGGGAAAAGAGCTCGTCCCCTGCCAGGGCCCGGCGCTGCTTCGCCTCCCACCCTGCCCAGCCCCACACCTTGGGGGCCACGGCACCCCACGGCTGAGGGGGGACCTGGCCCCACACTGCCATCGTGGGGACAGCGAGGGGCCGTGGGGACGGGCTGCTTGGGGCCAGGCGGGTCCCGGGGGCAGGAGGAGGTGGGTGCTCACCCCTGCACCCCAGCGTGGGGCTCAGACACCCCATCCCCGGTGGGGGGGTGTCGTGGAGGAGCTGGCACAGGGCACCCACGTCCCGTCCCAGGGCAGGTTCCTGCGGCCGGCCCCACTGTGGGAGCGCGGGGCAGTTTTTCCTCTTGCAGCGGGGCCGGTGCCTGCCCCTCGCCCGTCCTGCCCGGGGGCCGCAGGAGCTGGGGGGGGGCCGCGGGCTCAGCCCTGGTCCCTGCTGCCGGCCTTTGCCCCCGCGCCGCAGAGCCCCGCGGCCAAGGCTGGAGCGGGGCCGGGAGCAGCACGGGGAGCGGGGACACGGTCCTGAGGGGCTGCGGGGGGAGCACACGCGTGTGTGCGTGTGTGTGTGTGTGCGCGCAGGCAGCACCAGCTCCCGCGTGCCCCGTGGGCAGCCACGCAGGGCTGTGCTGGTCCCGCTTGGCACCGCGCTCAGCCCCGTGCGCTGTGCCCAGGACCAGGGAAAGCCTGGCCCCGGGGCCACTTGCCGCCGTGCCCTGGAGGAGCCGTGTCCCCCCCGGTCCCGCAGGAAGGACAGAGGGGGGCGGTGGGAGTGGGATGGCCCCGGTTCAGCACCTGGGGAGGGGGGCTCAGCCCTGGATGGAGCAGCCCAGCCCCGGCCCGTGCTCAGCGGGGAGCCCATGGGACATGGTTGCACCCAAGCATGGCCCCGAAAGGGAAAGAGGGGGACTCTGGGGTGGGGTGTGGGGGGGGAGGGACCCCCAGTAATGCCTCACTCAGCCCCTGTGTCCCCCCAGATGCCAAACACGCGCCATCCCCGGGGACACTGAGCAGGATGGAGAGCCGCAAGCGGGACATGGAGCTGCTGAGCAACAGCATGGCCGCGTACGCGCACATCCGAGGTGAGCCTGGGGGGGGGACACGGCCCGCGGGGGTGACCTGAGGGCCACCGGTGGCCCCGTGGGCCAGTCCCTCATCCCCGCTGCTCCCCCCGCAGCCAACCCCGAGACCTTCGGGCTCTACTTCGTGCTGGGCGTCTGCTTCGGGCTGGTGCTGACCCTGTGCCTGCTGGTGCTGCGCCTCTCCTGCCAGCCCCCCGCGCGCCCCCCGCCCCGCCCCAGCGACCTCAGCGAGGACGAGGAGGACGACGAGGAGGAGGACGAGGAAGAGGAGGACACCGTCGACCGCGCACCGTCCGAGTCACTGCTGCCGGTGACCGAGCTCCCGCCGGACAGCCACGGCCCCGGGGACGGGGCTCTGGCCGTCAACGTCTTCGCCTCGGCGGAGGAGCTGGAGCGGGCGCAGCGGCTGGAGGAGCGCGAGCGCATCATCCGCGAGATCTGGCGCAACGGGCAGCCCGACATCCTGGGCACCGGCACCGGCACCCTGGGCACCGGCACCGGCACCCTGGGCCGTGTCCACTACTACTGAGCCCCGGCACCCTGCCTGGCTCCAGCCCCCCCCCGGGTAGCTCAACCCACGGCGGGAGCTGCCCGGGACCCGGTTTGGGGTCAGGACTGGGGAGGACAGTGCTGGGGCTCGGGGGTCTCACTGCCCCCGGGTTGGGGGAGCTGCCCTGGAACAGCCCCGCGCCGCTGCCAGCCGGACCCGGGTGCCACCGGCACCCCCACGGCCAGACTCATCCCCCCCCCCCACCAAGGGACACGACGCACTTTGAGCCATTGGTACGATGGTTGGCACCCGCCGAGCACCCCCGGGACCCTGCAGGGACGAGGACAACGCCAAGGCCAGGGCTGACCTTGCCGGCCGCAGGTGCTGGCTCCGTCAGCTCAGCACCAGCGCTGGGGGGAGCCCAGGGCCGGGGGGAGCCCAGGGCTGGGGGGAACCCAGCGCCGGGGGGAGCCCAGCACCGGGGGGGGCCCAGGGCCGGGGGGAGCCCAGCGTGGGGGCCGCGGTCGGGCTGTTCGTCCGTGTAAGATGTGGGGTCCTGCCCCAGAAACATGGTGCTGTTACAGACTGCCTGGAGCCCAGCGTGGGGGGCGCGGGGCGGCTGCGGCTGCTGCACCGGCACAAGTGGTGCTTGGAGGGGGTGGGGGGGGAGGTCCGGTCGCCTCCCCTGGCCAATTCCCTCCCCCTGACCCCACTAAAATTAGCCGGGTCCTTTCCGGCACAGCCGGGCCCTGACCCAGCGCCGGGGCGGATGTTTCCCCGCTGGGCTCTCGGGGCGGTGGGTGCTCCCCTGGGACATGGGGCCACATCCTGCCTCCGCTCCCGGCCCAGCTCCGCAGGGTGCGAGGGCCCCGCTGCCCCCTCCCCAGCCCCCTCCCCGGCAGCTTTACAAAAATAGCTCCTTCCCAGGCCAGTCCCCCGTGCTGCCAGCGCCAGCAGGACCCAGATGTTTTCCAGATGTTCTCCCGGCCCCACAGCGGTGGCTGGAGGCCAGGATGGGCTGGGGCTGGGGCTGGGCTGGGAAACGGTGCGGGGGCTGGAGGACGAGGAGGAGGAGGAGGAGGAGGAGGCAGAGGCAGCTCTGCTTCTGGCCCTGGCTCTGCATCCCAGCCCGGGACAAGGTGCAGGGGGTGGCGGGGGGCACTTGGCCCCCCCCGGGACTGGCTGGCAGAGGCCGCAGCCCTGGCCGTGACTGCCGGCACGTCCACTCCCAGCACCTGGGGCTGAGCACTGCAGGATCCAGCCCTGAGCTCCAACCGTGAGCCAGCCCTGGTGGGACCCCCAGTGCCACACTGGGACACCCCCCCCCGTGCCCCGCAGGGACGTGGCGGCCCCTGGGCTCTGCCCGCGGCAGCACCCACCCAGCCCAGCAGCACTCTGCGCCCAAAATAGTTTATTTTCAACTTTATCTCTACACCCAGGGATTGTTGCGCAGCCTCGGGGGCCTCGCTGCAGAAAGCTGAGCTGGGGGCAGCGGGGTCGGGGAGGGGGGGGCACAGGGCGCAGCACCCACATGGCACCCAGCACCCTGTGCCACCCGCCTGCCCCACATCCCTGGGGCTGCAGAGGGGTGGGCACCGCAGCCCCGCACCGTGCTAGCAGGGCAGCACCTTCCTCACCCGCTCGATCTCTGCCTGTGGGGAGAGGCTGTGAGCACTAAGGGGGGGGGGGGGGGGGGGGGGGCTAGGGGGACCCCAACATCGGGGCAGCCCCTGGCCAGGGACTCACCTGCAGCGCCTGGCGCTTGGCCCGCTCCTGGCACATCTCCTGCCGCATGTCCGCCAGGTCCCGCCTGCAACGTGCCGGGGATGGCTCAGCCAGGGCCGGCAGGACCCCGACGGTGAGCAGCTGGGGACACCCCCCCCCCCCCCCCCACCACCACCACCAGCACCCCGACACCCCCGACCCCGCTCACAGGTGCTGGACTCGCATCAGGTCCACGAGGATGTGCAGGGAGCGGACCTCGGCCTTCAGATCCTCCAGGGCCAGCCGCTCCTCGGGCCGTGGTGCCACCGGCACCTCCGTGCTCCGTGGGAGAGGGGCACAGAGCCCGGCCGGGGGCTGCTCCCCCTCGCAGGGACCCCCCAGGGCGAGGCTGGGCGGCCGCTGGCCTGGCACCCGCGGGCGTGTGGCAGTGGGGTGGCTCAGCTTCATCGTGGTGACCGGCACCGCGTTGAAGCCATCAGCATCTGCCAAGGAGAGGGACTCAGCAACGGGCACGGCCCTGCCGTGGCTGCAGCACCCAGCGCTGGCACCCAGCACCAGCACCCAGCACCCACCTGCGTCGCTGGCTCTGCCCCACTCCGTGTCGGCTGAGGCGCAGGGCTGGGGGCCGCCGGGCCTGGGACGGCAGGGTGGTGAAGCGGCACAGCCCCGTGGGGCACACTCCAGCCCCACTCCGGGGACCGAGTGTGGCCATGGGCACGGCCCCGGCGCTGGGGCCATCGAGGGGTGGCCACGTGTGTCTTACTTGCTGGCTGGTATCAGGGCTGGTTTGGCCTTGGCAGGGACGGGGGGAGCGGGGGCCATCCTCTTGCTGGGGGGGAGCTTGGCCGGCTCCATCCTCACCGGTGCTGGGAGCTCTGGGGAGAGGCGGCAGGAGTGGGGCTGGGACCGGCACGGTGAGAGCGGGGCAGGAAACGCTTCCTGCTGGGGAGCCCCGGCTGCGGCCGTGCCCTGGCACTGGGGACCTGCCCCAGGCACAGCACGGGGGGGCCTGTCCCGTCCCTGTCACCGTCCCTCCCTCCTCCCCCCAGCCCCAGCTCAGGGACCCACCCGGGTGCTCCCCCTCCTCATCCCTCGCTGTGTTACAGGCTGCTGGGGAGCAAAGGGGCACGTCAGCCGCTGGGGGAAGGACCCTCATTCCATCCCCCTCTCCCAGAGAACCTTTTGCAGGGTGGGGGGCAGTGGGGTGCTGGGGAGGAGGCCCCCCACAGGCAGGACTGGTGGGAGACCTCACCCCATGGCACTCCTGGGCCCGCGGGTCCCACCAGCACCACCTACCCCGGCCGGCAGCGATGCTCGGCGGGGCCCGACCAGCCCGCTGGCAGCTCTGCCCACCGCCCCCACATACCCAGGGCGCTGTCTGCTGGGTGGGGGCAGCCACCCCCCTGCCAGCCCCGCACCCATCCTTGCACCCAGCCCCGCACCCAGCCCTGCTGCGGTCGGCGCTTCCTCTGCACGCGGCGGAGCAAGCCGCTGCAAACCTCCCCGAGCCCGCCGGCACCGTGGCACGGGCAGGATGCCGTCCCGCCGCCCCCTGTGGCACAGCAGCAGCCCCCTGACACCAAACCCGGGGGGCCCACGGGGACGAGCCCCCCAGCAGAGCAGGGTTCAGGGCACCAGGCCACCGGCACGCACCCATGGGCCACCCTAGGCCCATCATGGGCCACCCTGTCCTCATGGCAGGCCAGCAGCCCTGAAGCCACCCGGCCCCTGCCACCACCAGCACGGCCCTCGCCGTGGCGGCCTTGCAGGCACGGTGGGTTTTACCCACCCGAAGAGACGGCTGCAGCCATGAAGGCCACAGGGATGAGGACAGGGACGAGGGCACCCGGCCCCAAGGGCACGGGGAGATGCTCTGGGGGGGCCCCGGGGCTCCATCGCTCCCAGCGGCACAGGATTGATGATGCCCGGAGCTGCCCGGGGTTCCGCCAGCCCCTGCTCCTCTTCGGCAGCTCCCCCGGCTCGCGGGGCACCGGCACAGCGTGGCGGCAGCGCGGCCTCACGCAGGTGCTGCTGCCGGGATGGTCCCCGGGCGCGGGACCCCCGGGGCCACGGCTGCTCCATCCTACCTGCCAGCGCAGGGCTGCCCACGAGGCCGTGCCGAGCGGTGCCGTGCCAGGCTCCCCCAGCTGCCACGGCCCCACACCGCGCACGTGATGCTGGAGGAAATCGGCTCTGCGCTGGGAAGGAAGTCGAAGCAGAGAGCACCTCGGTGCCGGTCCACGCCGCATCCCTGCGCCCCATGGGGCTCCTCCTGCCCCCCGGCACAGCCGGCTCCCCGGCTGCCCCAACCCACCTTGCGCCCGGCCGCGGGGCTGCCCGGCCGTCCTGGTGGGACACCAAGGAGCCCGGGGCCGGATGGCCGCCGTGGCCGCACTCACCGGACTCCACATCCCGGGATGGCATTGCTGGCTTCACCTGCGGGAGAGCGGGGTTGGGTGAGGACGGGGCACCGGAGCAGGCAGGGACCACTGGCATGGCCACCGCCCCACGGACACGGGACTTCAGCCCCATGGAGCCCACCAGAGCTCAGGGTCTGGCTGCGCGAGCCCCGGGGCAGCACAGACTGGGCAGCTCTGGTGCAGCCCCCGCTCACCGTGGGCACCAGCGCTGGCAGGAGCTCCACGAAGTTGCTGGGGAAGAGCCCTCGCCGGTGCTGGCACTGCCCGTCCCACCAGCCCTCGGCCTCTGTCTGCTGCGGGCAGGGCAGGAGTCAGTGCCGGGGACCAGCCCCGGGGTCACCCCCCATCCCCGCGCCCCCCTCACCTTGCTGAGCACCCGGACGACATCTCCCCTCCGCAGCGGCAGCTCGTCCGGCAGCTCCGGGGTGTAGTCGAACAGGGCCCGGCAAAGCTGCGGCTCCTGGTCTGCGCGGGAAGGGCAGGATGGGGCTCACGGGGTCCGGCTCCTCCCCGGGGTCCCCTCAGCGCCCCGAGCCCAGGGGAACCCCCCAGGGCACGGGGTGACTCACCCAGCTCGGGCGGCAGGAGGGGGGCCGGGCGCTGCGCCGCTGGCCACGGCTCTGCCTGCGGGAGAGGGGATCTGCTGCGGCACGAGGGTCCCGGCTCCCAGCACCCTCCGGCTTGCAGGGCCCCACATCCCCCCAGGCTGCCCCAGCATGGGACCCCCCCACCCCCTTCTCCTCCGGCACTGGGAAGGGCTTGGGCATCTGCTTCAGTGCGGCGTCTCGGCCTCGTCGTCGGGGCAGGCGCCTGTGGGAGCGGGGAGGGGGTCCCCTGCCGCGGCTGAGCCCCGAACGCCAGCGGGGAGCGGAGCCCCCAGACATGGCTGTGCCCCACCACGGCTCTGGGTGCCCCCCGGGAGCTGCACCCGCAGCCGACAGCCCCACAGCTCAGCCCGGCCCCACCGCCGGGGCACGTGCCACGGCCCCACTCGCGGCACCAGCAGCGTGGAGACCCCCACACCACCGGGGCAGCTCCCCCAGAGCCTGCGCCCAGCCCTGGCACCCCCCGGCGCAGGTGATAAGTTGGGGACCCACAGTGACACGGGCCAGGGCTGCTGCACGGCAGCCAGAGCGCGGGGAGCCAGGAAATTGCCGCATGGCAAGAAGGGGCCGGGAGCCGGGGGGCAAACCAGGGGCAGAGCCGGCTCCGTGGCGTTTGTGCTGGGGGCAAATGTGGGACCCCAGTGGTCAGGGCTGCTGGTGCCACTGGGGCTGCTGGCGGCTGGCACCCGCCTCCGAGACCTGAGGCTGCAGCGTCACGGGGCAAAAAAAAAGGGGGCACCCACTCGCCTTGCGGGGGCTTGGTCTCCCCCGGTGTGTGACCCCGGCCGATGCACGGGCTGGGGGTGTCGCTGCCCCAGGGTGGGTTCAGCAGATGGGGGGGGAGAGGATCCGCGGCTCTGCCACTTCTGCTTCGCTCCGCCCGGGAGGCAGCTCCCCCCCTCCCCGAGCTCCCGTGGGGCCAGCGGCCCCCCCGGCCCCCCGACAGCACCCGGAGGCAGCCCACGGAGCGTCCCTACCTGAGCCGCCCGTGCCACCGGCCGCAGGAAGAGCTCAGGCCGGAGTCGCACCCGGCCCTGCCCGGCGGCTCAAAACCGCCCCGGGTCTCGCCACGCGTCTGTCACCTTCGGCGCGGAGTGGGGAAGTGAAACCCAAACCACAGAGGGGCCGAAACCCACAAACCGCGAGCGCCCGGGGCCGCGGCGCTGGGTCCCTCCGCAGCGGCCGGGGGGGCTCTGAGCAGCCCCAGGTCCAGGCTGACAGCACGAAGGTTCCTTTAGAGCAAAACGCATCCGAGCCCCGGAGCGGGGAGGGGCCCGAGGGCCAGGACGGGGCAGGGAAGGGCGAGGAGGGGGTCGGGGTTTTTTGGGGGGAGCGGGGAACGTGCTCGACCCTGGGTCTGACCCTTGGGGCAGCCGGGCTGGGCACGCTGGGCGCCCTCCCTCTGCCCGTTGGCCCACGGGCTCCAATTCAAGCGGGAGGGGAAACACGAACCGTTAACCCACATCGCCGGCCCCGCGGCTGTTGGCCAACCCCGTTCACCAGCAGCAGCCAGGAGCGCTGCCCCACGGCGCAGCCCCCAGAAGGGGCACGGGGGCTGCCCCCCAGCACCCCCCACTGAAACCCCACAGCGAGGGAAAAGCGTTTACCGCCGGGCACCCGCGAACGCAGCACCGGTTTACTCCTGCCCAGCGCTGGTGTAAAAGCCGGGTGCCTGGAGCCACCACCCGCAGCCGGGAGTGGGGCTGGTCCTTCCCGGGCACGGGTGGCACAATCCTCACCAGCTTCAGGGCTGGGGGCTGTGTCCCCCCCCCTCACCCAGTCCCTGCTAACCCCAAGGGGTTAAAAGATCCATTACCTGCCTAAAAATCAGCAGCCGGCTGGTTTTTCTAAGCCGCCCTCCCGGCTGCCACAGCCCCGTCCCCCCCACCTGCAGAAGCCACAGAAAAGCGGAACCTCTCGTGCCCGGCCCCACGGAGCTGCTCGCCACGGCCACGGCCGCCCCACGGCACCGCCGGGTTTAACACCCCTGGCCCACTCACGGCTCCTCAGCCCCCGCCTCACAACACAAAACAAAGCAGAGTTACACCTACTACTTCTTTTATTGTGTTTTATTTGCATAAACAAACTTCAGGGCTTCGCTAAACAGGAACTGTTCAAGTCAAAACAAACCAAACTCTAGTTGGTGTGTGTGGGGAAACAGCACAGCAATCCTGGGGAGGGGGAGGCGGGGGGGAGGAGAGGGAGAGCGGTGTCTTTACAGCACGTGCACCCTCGGCCTCGGTGCGTGGGCATGCCTCTCCTGCTGCGAAGGCTCACTGACTCAGCCAGGGAACTGTTTGCAAACTTCTTCAGAATATTTTTTAAGTAGAAAGTAAAAAGAAATACATCGTAACGGCCATCCTTAACCAGCACAGGAGGGATTCGCCTTTTGTTTTTATAAAAAGATTAATAAAAAATATTGAAAAATTCTCATCTCCGTTTATATTTTTAACCTAGTAGAATTCTGAAGTTTCTTAGAAAACTATGTTACCTTGGAAAGAGCACTCAAGTTCACAACCAGCTGCAAAGAGGATACACAAAATGCCTACAAGCAGTTCGGGGCTCCAGCACACACCAGGCCTAACAGTGTACACAAACAGTGGTGAAAGTAGGGTGGATTTTTTTTTTTTTTTTTTAAACCATGCTAATTTTGTTAACTTCCAACATAAAAGGAAAACAATAATTTTTAAAAGGCCCTAAACTCAACTGTTACATAAAAAAAAGTTTTTTTTAAAAAAATCATAGCAGTTTGGTCCCAACAAGTTAACATTTAGATGTTTATTCACATGCTTCATCGTTTCCTTATTTATAAGAACCAAAAATAGTTTCCAAAATTATCATTTAATTGATGTTACTACATACGTAAAGGCCTAAAATAAGTAGAGTATGGATTTAAAAAACTGAATACACAACAGGGGAGAAAAATTTGAACTGGCGAGTTAATCCTGACCTTTACTATTTCAAATTAGAAAAGAGAAACATAAAACGTCAAGACTACCAGGTTAAGATGGGCACAAACCAAAATCCACATTGTCTTCAAAGCCTGTTACCAAAAGATTAACTGACCAGTCGATAAGGTCGCAGATGAGAGAAAAATCTGGGATCTCACCCGGTACTTGACCTACCTTACGCAGTCCAGAAGGGGAGTCTTTGGGAAGGTATACTCCACGAGTGGATCCAAGCATAAATGATTGATCAGTTCTAGTCCACGCTTAGGGAGGCTGGACTCTGGAAATGCAGTTAACTCCGGGATTGTTTCAGAGCTCCTCTGCAGGGCTCTGCTCAGCACTCGAGGATGGCCCTGACACCCTCCAGCACCCGGCGGTGCTGCCCCCCCCGCCGGGGCTCTCGCCAGCGCGGACGCCGCGGCTATTCGGCCGCTGTCTGTAGGGTGTCCTTCTCCTCCCTGTTTTCCGTTCCGCTTTCGTCGTCCTCGATTTCTCCTTCTTCTCCGCTGAATTTGTCGTGAGCCCACTTGGGGCTGGTGCTCGACTTTCGGAACATGAAGCGCCCTCTGCCCCGGGGGAAGGCGCCCCGCCCGCGGCCTCGGTTCACCCACTTGTCCGCTCCTTCGCCCTCGCGGTCGTCGTGCTGCACGGGGGGGGGGGGGGGGAAGCCAACAACATCAACTCTGCCTCGCGGCCCGCAAGCGGGCAGCCCCCAGCGGCCTGCCCGGCTTATGCCGCGGTGACCACCGCTCCCCCGAGAGAACGGCCGCCCTGGCTGGGGGAGGAACAGCCGGAGAGGAAGGCAGGAAGGCACAGCCACGACCCTCCTCGGGCACGGCGGCCTGTCCTTGCCCACAGGGAACTCTCTACAGAACATTTCGGGGTAGGCAGGGAACGGGTGTCGAGGGCCTGGAGCGCCGTTGCCGGTCGGGCAACCCCAAGATTTAGGTATCCTACACATTTCCCCTCTGGTTTCTCGCCAGTCAAACCGCTCTGGCAGCTTCAAGCCTTTACTGCCGGGTACTCGGCGAGTCTAGTAACGCGTGCCGCTTCCAGGACTGCTTTGTGTGAGCTACAGCAGACGCAGCTGGGCCAAGCTGACACAGACCACGTCACTGGGCTCAAAACTGATCCAGTTCTGGAAGTAAAGTGCAGCGTAGAAACTGGATAACCCCCCCCAAAATTACAATTCTGCCTTCAAGTGAGATCAGGGGAAAACACAGTAAAAAAAAAGAATAATCAAGGCTTGCTCGTTTGAGGCAAAAAACTGGAATACTGTATTATTTAATGAGAAGATTAGGGATCTCAAGTACTCCAGGAAGAGAAAAAAAATCAGTGAGCGTCTGTTTAAAACCACCCCTTTTTTCAAAGAACAGTGTCAGCCAGGATTCTCCTCGATTAATGCCCGTTAGTATGGCAGGCTGCTACCACCCCAAGGCAAAGGCAGGGTGCTGACCCAATGCAGGAAGCTGGACACTTTATGGGGACAGAAGAACCAAGAAACACAGGCCATCTGCAACAGACTCACAGACCTGAGCTGTGTTTCCCACAGTACTGTGAAACACGTGCTTCTAACTGGCCTGTAGGATTTCAGAGCGGCAAACCACTCTACAACAAACAGAAACAAGTTCTCTCTAGTCATGAGCCAGAAGCTCCCTGGGAAGAAGTGTCACATGAAGCCTTAACCTGGTGCATTAGATCGTCCAGCTACAGCTGGCGCTTTCACCTCTAAAGCATTTAGGAACAGATACACCTGGAGTGTACATACGTGTTTCAGTGCTTCAGACACATACCAGGTAGTACTTCTTGCTCTTAGGTGTGTACTCCGGATCCCACTCCTCATCTCTGTTTCGCTTCTGGAAGTCATTGTTGCCACCGCTGTTGCTGTTATTGTTGCCTGAAAAGTTGCCTCTGCCCCATCCTCTCCCTCTTGCTCTGAACTGCTGCAACAGCAAAACAAGGAAGAAAAGTAAAATGGTTGCAGTGGCAGTGCCCTCCCACCCCCAGACAGCTTCCAGGGCTACCAAGGAGATACAACATCACTTCTCCAACCATCCAAGAACACCTTTAACCTAGCATTAAAACAAGAGCTCAGCACACTTTAGGCTCCTCCGATCACACAGCGCATCACAGTTTCTATAAAGCTGTTTTAAGATCATGTAGAGGCACTTCCCAAGCACCCAAGAGAGAGCATCTGACAAATGCAATACGCACACGAGACAGCCACGTAACCGCGGCCTGGGAACTGCCAACAGCGAGCGCGGTTACGACCAGGGCTCTCGCTCTGGTAGCCTAACCCCAACTGACGGATGCACATCACGCTGCCCTTCGGGGTTGCTCAGCAGCTCCTCGTGCACAAAAGCTTCCAGGCTTGATTCTGCTCCATCTCGAGCTCAACTGCCCAGACTACATTCTCTGCACCCCGGCCTGTGCTCCACACACTGAGCAATCGTATTTCGGCTCAGCATCCACAACCAGTCGACGTCTCTGGGGTCTCTCCTTCACAGTGTGCTTTAACTGTGAGAGTGCAATACACAGTGGCCCCTTTTTGGCCACTCTGGGAACTGGCACTTGGGGTGGGGTGGAGAACACTTACAAAGGTCCCTCTAGCTCTTCCTCTCTCATTCGGACCAGTGAACTCCTTAGTCCCAAGCCGGGACTTGTCAAAGCCTGTGGTGCTTTCCTCCCTCTCCTCAGTCTCCTCAGGATATTCCTCCGCTTTGACCGAATGAGAGGACCGCGAAGATGACGAACTGGATCTGGATCTCTCACGTACCCGTCGGTGTTTCCTGTTTCAGCGACAGGAAACACGAGGTGAGGGGAACACCAACAGGGTTAATAACTCCATTGGGACTTGCTTGGTACAGAACTGCTTCTGTATCAATTCAACGCTCATTGTCAGAAAGGAAGAGCCCCAGGGAGAGCTCAGCATCAGCTACAGCACGCAGATCTAACACAAGTCCCAAGTCTTCTCCAGAAAGAACCTGTTGCTTCTTTCTAAGGTGTTTACACCATCAACTATGAGATAAGCATGCACCTGCAGAGCTTTAGTCAAATGGAAAATTAAGCTAATAGAAAAGTACTGAATGAACATTAAAGCAGAGTCATTTAAACCTGGCCATTCTCATTAACACAACAGGAACAAGGAGAAGTGACTCACCCATTCTGTCACATGGAGCCTTCTCATTTACCTTTAACAGTTATTTAGTGTTTCAGCTAGATATAATAATATCAAGATGACAGGCAGAGGAATCGTTCATGCCACTGGAGTTTATGCCAAAAGGTGTACAACTATACGTACACGATGTCGTCTCCAACCTTAACAGCAGAAACACGAAAGGCAGAAGGAAATGGCTATTAGGTTTCCTACATACTTTTTCTTTGAGCCTTTGTGACTTTTCTCCGTTTTCTCAGTTGATCTTTCCCTTGAGTGACTTGAATCTCTCGAATCCACTGATTCCCTGGATTTATCGCGTTTAAGATCCTTTCCTTATGTTTTTTACGGCGTTCAATATCAAGGCGCAGGTCAACAGGGTCGTCCTTATATTTCCCTTCAGCCTACAAATGCAGGGAAGAGGGCAGAGTTTAATACAAAGGTTTGCAGTGCACCAGTTCAGCACCATTACTTTGCTATCGACTGCACAGACTTCTGGAGAACAGGAGTTTATCTGAATACTATTAATAATCCATTTTAAGACGTAAAATAGTGCACTATTAAAATAACTTTTTATTTGTCAGAAATCCGTTTTTCCTACTGCTTTTTAAGATCGATGCTTTTTAACTTTTATTCCCCTCTTTTAAACAGCGTTAGAATAAATAGCCTGGTAATAGGGGAAGGAGAAACACAGAAGCTGACACTTATTGTACACCACAGCCAGTGAGAGATGAGAACAACTTGGAAATCCAATCCAACTGATTATGTATCACAACTACAGCAGGTCAAAAATGTCTAACAGCCCGTGGACGTTTGTTACCGAACAGCAGCATGCTCGCTGTCCTGCTGACAGGCATCATCTAGCAGGGTGGAAGGGATTTTAATCACCAGGTCAGGACACGGTACTTAAGGAGAAGCAGAAGCTGTTTGCTGCTTGGAGATACCCAAGGTAGGGAGTACCGATCAAAGTGGTATGAGATGGAGGCCACGGAAATGCAGCAACCAAGTGCACCTGGGAGAATGCCAGCATCCCATCGATGCGCAGCCTCCGAGACGTCTGTCGGGAAGATTTACTCTGCGGCAGACGTCGCCTACAGCACTCCTTCCCCCTCGAAAGCACCATGCGAGAGATGCCAGGAGCTCACCCCAGGTGAAACGTGCTTCTCCACGCAATCCTGGCAAGCCTACTAATGCAAGCTGACCCTGGTGTCTCGCAAAGCAAAAACCAACCAGCTGTATGAAAACCACTCAACAACTAGCCTTTTTTTTTTTTTTTTTTTTTTTTACATTGTTAATTTAAAAAGTAACTGGTAACGCTTGCTTTGAGTTCTGTTTAAATTGCTACTTACATAATGGATTAAGATAGTTTCTTTAGAAGCGGGTTACCCGTATACTTTAGGATCAGTGGCACCTGGATGAGATTCTGCTGACTGCGCACACAGGAGCAGCAGCCTGACAGCGGCTGTGGTTCTGACAAACACTGAACTGAGCAGCAGAACGTCTGCAGGAAGCCTGTACACGGTGGTGCCAGCAACAACCAACAGCCCCTGTGGCTGTGCTCAGCGACTGCTACCGTATTTACACAACACTAGTCTTAGGAACTGTACGACTGGATATGCAACATACATCATATTAATCGTCCTGAATTAAATACAAAAGGATTAGTAATTCTCTAGCTATTAAATTTTTTACTTACATGAGTTTCTAAACACTTTTTTGTTTAAATAAATATGTCAAATAACGCAGGAGTTAGAGCAGGCGTTTTGTTTTGGTATTTTGCTCTTCTACTTTCCCCAGGCAAAGAGCTTTAATTTCTACTCTGAGAATAAAACTGCTCCCAACACGATGGATGACAGATAAGTGACAAAATCAGCAGCAGCTCCCTTATGTGGTACAGCAAACACCTATTTGGGTTTGTGAGGGCACGTCTGTTTCACGGAAGGCTGGCGAGCTGTTTGGAAACCACGTTTATAATACACTCTGCCAAGCTGATGCTCAGAGTTCAGGCCCATCAAATCCATCTCACCATCGTCCATGTCAAGCCACAAGTGTGTTTGGAAAAAATCGAAAACAAATATGAAACAAGTAAGGTTTCAGCAGGACTGTTTAAAATCTCTTCAACGTTCAACGTAAATATGTATGAAGGTGAATAAACAAAGGTTAAAATCCCAAACATTTTAAGTTAAGCCATTTTTATGATTGTTTACAGCAAGTGCAATGGCTTAACATTCATCTACTCAGAAAAGCTAATACACTAAATTCCAAATGGTCTGGTTCTACTAAAATAAGTGCTGAATGTTAAAGTAACAGCAATCAACAGAAATGCTACAGTAAGTTGTTAGAACAAAATTTATCATCTGCTTAATAGTGTATTTGGTTTAGATAAGTATTTAGTTTTACTTTCCTCTTTTTGACATGCATGTCTTTTTGAAAACATGGTTGGAAATATCGCATGTATACAATTGATTTAATAATACTTACAAGCAGAAAAATATCACAAAAAGTCTCTTCTCTCATCATGGGCACTTGTTCCAAAAATCCTCTCTTTTTTCTCAAGCTCACCTCAATTGACTTTGGGGTCATTTACCATAGTCTAACCACTTCACAAAGGTTGTTGATACATTTTTAATAAAAATTAACCCTTTGTAGTTCATTTTTAGAATTATGCCCATCCTTAAAAGAAAAACACAAACTTAAGTAGAGAGTAATTTAAACAAAAACATCACTGTTAAGTTCATGCCCAATGCACTCATTTTGATGAATTAAACTAATCAGAGTAACAGTTCACCTTGAAGCCAGGATCTCTGGAGCTTTTCGTTTCCTCTTGAGAGAATCCATGCTTTCTAAAAGTACTGGGAGATATATCTATCCTCCTAAAAGTAAAGAAAGTGCACAGATATAATCTCGCTCGTAAAAAGAATCTGAAGTTTTCAGATCAAATGTCATTAAAAGCAGACCAGTATTTCCAAAGGTACGTAAAGCTCCCCCCCTCCTTTTTTTTTTTTTTTTTTTTTTTCCCCTTCTTCCTGAAGCTAGTTATGTACTGGAATTATTCCACAGTTAATGAGAAGGAAATGTGAAGTACCCCTGAAATGTTAAGACAGTGTCTAATGGCACCAACCTGTGGATTTCAGGGCTCTTTTTGTTTTTAGCTGCATCTTGTTCCATTCCTTTCTTTAGATATTTGGTAAAACGTTCATTCAGTGTCATTCCTGATGACCCAAAGTGATGCTCTGTTGGGGGTTTGAGTAAACAATGCCAAAATATTAATACTATTTTTGCAAAAAGACAAAGCACATCAGCCCCAGGGCTTGGTCTAACCCCAGACGCAGGGCACGTGAAGGACACTGCTGATGAGCTCTGACTAAAGCTGCTGACAAATTTCGGTTTCACTCTTGAAACTAGCAGTTCATTCAAGTGAGTCACAAGTTCACCAGAACACACAAATTCTAAGTCACAGTCTCTCTGAATATTGCTCAGGTAAAAACAAGAATGTCTTTTCTGCCTTTCCAGCAGAAAAGTTATTTATGTAAATAAGGAACACTCGTGATCGGGCCGCTGTTCTCATCTAGGACATATCTGCTGGCAACAACTCTCTGAGCACTACCTAGAGTGCACGAAACCTGCTGACTGGGGCAAGGGGGGAGTGAGGATACACGGACTTCTGACCTACCTCTTACGTGATGGACTATAGTCACTATGTGCTGCGCAAACAGTTCAGAAGGACTTCGCTGAGACTGAGCAGACTGAATATGATGGAAAATGGAACGAAATTCTTGCTCTTTTTTGTTGCTGTGCACAAGGTCACGACACAGCTTGCGTTCCTGAGCCAGTATGCCACTTGGACTAGAAAAAAGAACAGACCGCATGAAACAGAAGAATGGGGTAAAGGGAAGCAGTTCAAGACAATGTCTCAGAAGTTGGAAGCTGACTTCATTTTTTATGTAATATTATGAAGGCACCTAAGAACATTCAATAGCATGAGCAGGACGCTTATTTAAACAGCTCTAAAATACACTGATCCAGGTTACTGTAATAATTCAGGTCACGTGTTACTCTGTATTTGGAGGGCTGTGCAGGTATTAAACTCTGACATCCTGTGAAACACAAGCCCGTTCTTACAGCACTAGCTGGCTGTCATCTTTTGCTAAAGTTCCTAAATTCTAGATTAACCTCTAGCACTCCACAGAGCACATTAACACTTACTGGCTACTGCTGTACAAGCGTATTTTCTGGAGTAACTTTTTACTGGCTTAAGATTTCCTGAAGCAATGCTGAAGCGGCTCTCAGAGCTTCCGAGAGTTTCAGTAATGCTATGCTGAGAATGAGACTAGTTAAACACACTCCAAAGAATCAAATGTCATTTAAGTGGCACTGTAACTGTACCATACCACTAAGCTTCTAGCAGCCAGAAACCATTGAGTACCTAACTCTTTCCAGAGTGTAGCACAGAACCTGATGCAGAAGCATTTACATTCTGATCTAATCTTACATCTAGTTATAGAAAAGATTAAGAGAAGTTGTTTAACCTTCATGCTTTACCTTCACCATCTGCAAACTGGTAACATCTAACATGCCACCACAAAAAAAAAAAAGGTGTCACAAATATTATGCCAGAAAAAATGAATCTCTGTCTCTAAAAAATCCAAATTGTGATGCAATGTTATTTAGCCTTCCTCACACTTGGCAAGCATATGAGGACCTCAGAAAGAGAAACAGGAAAAATCCACTATTTATGCTTCTCAAAAAATAGCAACTACTTACCGTGCAAGATCTTCATCAAAGGAATCCATTCGAATATTCACCTGGGCCTCACGAGTAATGGAAAAGGAGGATTTGCCAGGAGCTAGCCCCTCTACTTTGGTGCCTGGTTTCTCTTTCACCTCAGAAGCCTTTCTTGGTGGGGGGGAAGAACTTTTTTCCTGGCTTGATTTGTAAGTGGTCACTCTGAAATTCTTTTCAGGAACAAACCCCCTGTGACCTGGTTCAACTCTCTTGGTTGCTGGTCTCTCTTCTTTTTTTGATCTTTCAGAATAGCTTTCCTCCTCCATTTCATCAGGTTTCCTTTGCTTCTCTTTTCCAGGCGGCAAGAACACCACGCCTTCCCACTTTCCTGGCCTATCTTCTTCTTGACTTTTACTTGAAGTTGCTACGACTTTAGACATAAATTTGGGCTCATCATCAAATTCCGAATCTTTTCGGCCCTTTGCCTTGTCTTTCTTTTCCTGATCGTCTGTTTCCTCTTTGCCATAATGACTTTCCTTGTGGAACTCCGGGACCTTTAGCTTGTCAAAATCATCCCGGAACTTGTAGCGCTTGGGCGACTGGCTGCCGCGGTATCCCTTCTCGGAGTCAGCTTTGGATGCATAGGAGTCAGATTTTGCCTTTCCGTCTGTTGATCCCAACTCAGAGAAATTCCCTTTTTCTTTACTTTTTTCCTTTTCAACATTTGTTACTTTCTGTTCTTTGTCTTTCCCATTCTCAGTCTTCTGCTCTTCCAGATACCTGTTCATAAAACAGACATTACAATAGTTCTCTTATTAAAAATCAAAGAGGTTAATATTTCAGTTGAAAGCAGTCAATTTTTAGAGAACATCAAGCTATGCATGTACAGAAAGCTGTCTCTAGATCCTAAAATAGTTAAAATATAAAGCAGATAACTCAGTCTGGGTTTAGGCTTTTAGTCCTCAATAAATTTAGCAAGTACAGGAGAAAATGGATTTGCAGAACTGATGAAATGAGGCTTAAGAACAAATAAAAACAGCTTGCCCACAGATTCATTTCAAGGAAAATAGTAACATCTTACCCAATCGGTTTATTTACTTACAAACCTGGTTCAGGAGAACAACACATCAAAACTTTCAAACTGGGCTGTTCTGCTTTAAACAACACACTGGAAATAAAAGCCTCAAAAGCTACTTCAAATTTGGATGCAAGTTTCATAGGTAAGCTAAATATTTCATGACAGACTGTAAATACAAATAAAAGCAAAAAGGTTAACAGAGGAGAACACTTATTTTGCTGTGAGAAGACAAAACACTTCTGGTGAGAACAAACAATTTGGCTAGCTTAAAGCATCAGAGCTATGTTTTAAAACATACGTTAAGCAAACACTAACTTTGATGAACTGCAGTTAAAGCCCAAGGACACTAGTTCAGTGCTTTGGAAAGCCCAAGAGCTACATTTACAATTTTTTTTTTTTTTCCTTCAAGTTTCAGACACTCTTGATACAGAATCAGTTCAAGTAACCTTTAAAATAATAATAAGAAGAGATTTAAAAGCACTTGTGAGTGCTACTGTATCTTTTAAAAAGTGTCACCTTTACCCACGAATCTGCAGCGGACTGACCCAGCAAACAGAAGCATTAGTACGTTGATGCCTTCTGCAGGGAAGGGTGTCTTAATTTCAGTGTGGATCTCAGTGCTTTAGTTTCTCATACTACCCACATCCACAGGCACAAGCACTGCTGCTACACCTGCCTTAAGCTGCTTGCAGCAGGGCATGCAGTGAGATTTAATTAAATTTTGCTAATTTGTAGTATCTAATGCAATACTAAAACGGTGTCTTTACCTGAAAAGTAACTAACTCAGAAACGCAAGCTTCCAGTGTGCACTGTTAGGTTGCTAGAAAAATCTCACTGGGCACATCTTCAAGCATTCATGAGCTCTGAACAATTCTGAAGGGAACCCGTGCAATCTCTGGGACAGCTCCAGCTCCCTCCAGCACAGGGCCAGGCTGCATCCTGCTCTGTCATTACAGACAGTCCGGGCCCAAACAGCTTGCCAGCACAGCACCCTGCACGCCCTGGGGCCGTGCTCCGCGGGAGCCTGCACACCCCCCAAGGACCTCGCAGCGCTCACGGAGAGCGCCCACCGCGCGAGCCAGCTTGCAAAAAAAAAACAAAAAGCGGCACAACAAAAACGCATCACTCGCCTTTTCGAGAAGGCTCCTCTCCGGAGCTGTGGTTTCCTCCTTCTGAGACGCACTGTAAATCGAACTGATTGGTGGTGGACTTTTGCACACAGGGCTCTTCCTTGTCGGGCTCAAACCCGCCGAGCCGTGATCAAAGGGGCTCTGGTGGGAGCCTGCCTGAAAGGAGGTGCTGCTGCTTTGTAAAGCAGAGCTCATCTGCGGTGGGTTGGGCAGCGGGGGGCTCGACTTTTGCAGCGGACTTGGCCGAGGAGAACGGCGCCTCACCACAACTGACTGGAGAGGCTTTTTAAGGCAGGACTGCGTTCCCTTGGGCTAAGTTCAGACAGAAGCTCTTGACGCTGAACTTGTACCATAGGTGGTCATATCTTGCCATGGTTTTGATCCCTCAGGTGGCTTGACATCTTGAGCCACCGCTCCAGAAAATGGCTGCTCCTTAGCCTCATCACCTTGATTATCTCCTGCAGCCTGAGATGCCCGGGCATCCTTGGAAGATGACTTTTTCTCCTTTCCAGATTTACGCTTGGAAGACTCAACTCGGCTATGATTTGAGGAAGACCGGGAAGAGGAAGACCTCCTTGACCGATCAGAAGATGACTTATCAGAATTTCTAGAATGACTTCTAGACCTTGGTGAAGGAGACCTTCTCTTGGGTGAACGAGAGCGCGACCTCCCTCTACGAGGGCTATATGCTTGGCGATAATTTTGCCAGTTTGACCTGTAATTCCCATATCCTCCTCGGTTATACTGGCCCCATGGATAAAACCCTCGATTTCGGCCACGAAATAATACGGTCTCCTGTATCCTCTATTATGACCTCTGAAATCCCGGTTCTGATACACCCTCGGATGGTTCCTTTCTCTGTTATGAGATGGAGAATACGATCTTGAACGGGACCTAGAACTGATAAAAGAAAAAATTACACAAATATTTTAAAGCTTATTTTTCTGTCACAAATTTTTATTGTAAAACTTATAAGAAAAATGAAAAATTCCTTTCTAAGCTTTTAAAAGTAATTTCTTTGGTTTACTCTCATCTAGTTGAGGCATTACACTTTGCTCTCGATAAACTGCAGTGGAAATTCTGTGATACTGCTAAACAAATATTTGACTTCAGGATCATTGCAGAGACCATGATGAGTACACGTTTTTCTAGAGTGAACACGGCTGCTATCCAGCTTCAGAAAAGTGACTGACCTCAAACTTCCAGTCCGTCACGGCTCAAGGTCAAGGCTATACCTCATATCTCTTCCCCAAGAATTCTTTATGCATGTCATGCTACTGTTACTGGAACGGGTCCACAATCTTCCGCTTGTGTCCTAAGGTCTCGTGTGCTTTTGAAATGCCGATAATCAAGATGAAACCCCACTTCTTTGCCAGGCGAGTTAAATCGCTACACCTCAACATGAGAAGAGCAGTACTGGAGCAAACGGTGCACCGCTCTATAGTGTTACGTTTCAAAAGGTGCACTCCTTGCCACAGTTCAGAAACCGCGGCTCCGAGCAAGGGGGACAGCGGAGGGATGCGCTCGCTCTCCGGGCCAGTGCCGCGAGATGGCACTGTTCAGTGTCCCTCTGCGCCAGGCAAGAGCGTTCATAAGGAACGGAACTGAATCCAAGACAAGCACAAAGCCTGTGAAAATACAGAATTAGTGGCAAAACATTAAGGGCTAATCATTCCAATAGTCTCTTCCACTAAAGTTTGGAAGCTGCAGTTGTGTAACTGTTTAAAAGTCCCACTGTAGCTCAGGATTAAAGGCCAGCTTTACAGTAACTATTTCACAGCTGTTAGAAAACAGCTTCCACTGGAAGTCTGAGACTTCAGCAAATCTGCATTAGTAAAACAGAGAAAGCATCCAAACTAGTAAGTTTAAACAGAAAAAGAGATTTTTCCAAATGGAATTTTAGTAAATAATATTTATTGAAACCATTTCCACAGTCCCTTCTTGCATTAAGAGACATCTGGCTCTAACCTTCATTGGTCCACTCCAACGGACGTGTACGACTGCTACAGACAGGCAATACACACCCTCGGCTGCCCACTCTCTGCTCACATCCCAAACCCTCGTAATGGTCAGGGAACACAACACTGCCGTTACAATTCCTACACAATTAGCATACATGCATGCAGTCAGAGGCCAACTTTACTGCTCTGTTTTTATTTCTTCCACCTATCAACTTCGTTAAAGTTTAGCAGGAAGCTCGTTATTCATACTACAGTCATTGCTAGCAAACAGTTTAATGATAATTTGAACATATGCTTCATCCTTTTACTTCAAACAACCAAAAAACCTAAGCAACATATCCAAGACACTTACTCATTCGAATGATGACGAGAAGGAAAAGCAGACACAGACAGCAAGAACCAATTATAATGAGCCCTTGTCAAAGCACTAAGAACACATATGCTCCCATTTTCAGACAACCGCTGCATTTGTGATCAATTACCAGCAAGGGACCTGTTGTACGCCACTTCCAAAATCTGTTTCTGTTGTTTTAGAGAGGCTTGCAGCAAGAAGATTTCACTCCAAAAGTTGCAGAGATTA